TAATTTTAATAAATGACAAATTAAAAAGGCATGAACATTTTTTTGTATCGAAAAAATATTGAACCGTGAATTTTGTGTATCGTTGCACCCCTACTACTAATAGGAAGTTCGGTGAGTCGATCCTTGACTGCACGCCAAACATCCTTGGGCAAGATACCAACCCCAAGTTGCTCTCCGATGCATCCATCGGATTATGAATGTGTGTGAATGTTTGATAGAAAGCAGTTAAGTGTTTATATGAATGAGGCATGTTGTATAAAGTGCTCTGGGTTCTCCATACTTGTTATCACCCACACCTACATAATGTTTGTGTAATCAAAGTAAACTTCTGTTATGTTGCCCTAATCTAATTTTTACTGCTTTACAACTTACATTTAAAGAGAATAAAGAAAATATATTTGTATGAATATATAAAAAGTACAAAACGACTCCCTTAAAAGTAAATCCTGCGCAGACTGAGCTGCCTGCGATTGCTCGCCTCAGCGTGTCTCTTGTTTACTTGAATTCTTTGTTTCCAACAGAAAAAGTACAAAGATGAAGGCAGGAAGGAGATGATGTCGCCTCTGTACGCTCAGCTGCCTGAAACCACAGAGACCCACTTTGCCCGGGAGATGAGTGAAATCCTGAGTGAGGTACAGTTCTGCTGCTATGATGCATTAAAGATTACACAGAGCAGAAAGTGTAGTAAGTAAGGCCACAGCATTAAAGCAGCTGCCTGATGAAACTTTCACTGTTCAGGGCTTGGATGTGGGACCTCCAGTGTTTTGATTTCACCTGTTCTTAAGGTGCTTGGAGGAAAACACATTACATTTTCCCGTTACTGTTCCTGCCGATGTTGGATTGGATTTGTATCTGCAGGATTTAGAGGCCTGGTTTACACTTTGCGTTTGTCACGTTCACGTCAAAGTAACATCTGCATGAATGCCAGGGAATCAGTCACACTGATGCCAGCTGTTTGGTGTGATTTCTGTTTGCAATAAGGCAACCGCTGGTTGAGCAACTCCGACATTTTAAGGCTGAAGAGCCGTAAGACCTCTGAG